TCTTCTGTGTTGGACAGAGACACGACAACAATTGTGTCAAGATGAAAATATCTCACCAGAAGCATAGACACCTTCAGGTTAAGTTGAAACATGCGGCCACGCCTACCCGATCTCAGGGATTTCGAGTATAATAGCAGGACAAATGTTTTGAAGTTCTTCGCAAATCTCATGAATTTCAGAAATATCCTTTTCAGGTATTTTTCATTCTACTGGTCATCATTATCTCGACCCCTATTTTTGCTGTGGTCGTGGTACCACTCATGCTCATATATTTCATCATTTTGGTGAGTGAAGGTTTACTTCTGTAGAATCGTGATTGATTTCTAGAGTTAGACTATTCCAGCGATTATACATTTCGACAGCACGTCAACTGAAACGCCTTGAGAGCATCCATAGATCACCAGTTTTTTCAAACTTCGAGGAAACAATTCAGGGAGCATCGTCTGTGCGGGCATTCAATAAGGTGGTTTTCAATAATATCTTCTAAATCACACGTGTCTGCTCCATTTGGGGAATGAGGAGCAACAAAGCCGTACATTCATGGCGAGTTCACTGGAGAGAGGGGGAGGAAGGACGACGGCGGGCCTGACTCTCATCGGACCCTATATGATAAGATTTGACAGCACTGCGAGTCCAGCGAGTCAACTAATAATACACATAACCTCGGTCTCCTGGTCCACAGCTACTAATTCTCCCTTCCAGAGCTCTTAAGAAACAATTAGAATAATTATCAAAGATGAGGGTACATATTTGTATTGAGCGCGTCATCGTGCGCAACTAGTATAGTCCAGGGCACATCGTTGTTGGGGATCCCCCAACAGGGAGGTTGGAGGTCGTGGGGGTCGTACTCGGTCGCTGGGAGAGGGGGAGGAGGTCGTATTTGGGCTGAGAAAAATTTTTTGATACTTATTTTCGTTGTTTCAGAGACGTTGTAAAAGGGAGGGGGCGTATTTGCTCATTGTTAGGAGGGAGTCGTATTTTTTTCGGCTTTTCCCGTATTTTTTTCCTTTTCCCGTTTGTGCTGTTAACCTCCACCCACCCTCCTCCCACCCCCCCCGTTGACAGCCTCGAATCAGAGAGGAACCAGGGGGCAGGGGGTCGCACCTCAATCCCCCCCCCCCAAAAAAATGGTGGGGGGAGGGGTGGCTGTGGACTCCGATCAAAATCCTCAACCAATGAATGTGCCCCTGGTACCAGTGCTTTTTCTTCACAAACATTAATTGCCTCAGCTGCGACATGATCAGCACTGTCTTGCACAACCATTTTTTGGCGCAGCGCCAAACCCAACGATTGTGATCCGGGTAAGTGAATCAACAGTTGAAGGAAGAAAATATCAATAGAGGATTGTGGATACGTCGCGTCGCTTGCTCGCTATCAACAGACAACCAGGCAGCCACATCAAAACTGTGTGGAAAAACGGCTGGCCGCACTGAGCGACAAGAACATGATAGGCCATTTTCTACACCTGCCGTTGAACGAAGTTGAACTGTGGTGGATATTGCTGCTCACGTGATCCCTGCACCCCGTCTCGCTACCCTCAGAACAGTGATTACACCAACAAAAGATAGCTGTCGCATCAAGTAAATAGATCGCTACTAAGCATTGTGGGGGCTCCTAACCAGTAGAGCCTTCCACCCCTTTATCGACCCTCTGAAGGCGGAACCACTCGAATCATGACCTGTGCACTTCGGCTATTAGGTCACGCCGCGAAGATTTTGGATGGAAGTCGAATGCACGGCGCACTCCAAGAGAGTTTGGCTGACAGCTTTCACAACTTTCGCTATATGTCATGACCAATTTCTTGACATAGGTGAAACAGTTCCGATCCACATTTGGTGCTACTGTCGATGCCTTCATCAAATGCAAGCACTGCAGCGTCATGGCAGATCGTTGGCTGGCAATACGTTTGGAATTTATCGGTAATCTAGTGGTAGGTGAATAGTTTTTTGGAGGCAGTGGGCACGATTGCTGTGGGCGGGCGTTTGTTCCGTTATTGGTGGAAGGGATGAGTGGGGTGTGCCTGAACGCCCTCTCACAACGCTCCCACCAATGACGTTGCAGCAAGCGCCCGCCTCCAGCAATTGTGCCTGCTGCCACACAAGATTGTTTACAAGCTCCCAAAATTTCCTCAGCTTCCAGATCTTCTTTGCTGCTCTATTTGCGGTCATCTCGAAAGAATTCGGTTGGGTGACTAGTCCTGGTATAATCGGTGTATCTGTATCCTATGCTTTGAATGTAAGTTATTGATATTTTTCATCTCTGTAAATTGAAAACTTTCTGGCAACGCCTAAACATTTCCAGATTACTGAAATGCTCAATTTCGGTATACGTCAGAATAAGTGAGAGCGAAGCCAACATTGTTGCTGTTGAAAGGATCGATGAGTACACAAAAACCCCTACGGAGGTGATTTTGCAGCCATTTTTTTATTTCCTTTCTCCGAAAAGGGAAGGGAAAGCGGGATTACTTCACGCCTTACGCATCAGTTAGGCCCACTCTTAACGAGACTTACGCAAGTGACGTCATGCTCTAGGTGAGAAGGGTCCAGGGAGAGGAAGGCGTGTTCGAACGCGGACAAAGCCACGTTATGCTGCCAAGGTGAGAGGGTGCAGACGAAGCAGACATGACGTAGGTCCAGTCTAGAGCATCCCCGATACAAACAAGGATCTTTGTCTGGATGGCTAAGGAAGCTGAGGATAGCCACGCACTTCCGTATTCCGCTTTCTCTAATCAAGGCTCAGTACTAGCCTGGCCGACGACCTAAAGTGCCGGAGAGTAGAGTGGGGGGGGGGGGGGTGGGCATTGTTGTAGCGACAGGTACGCATTCCAATTATGTTACTTTGAGAGGTAGGGTGACGTGTCTCACTGACGTCAATAACATGTCAGTGAATTCCATCTTATAGACGATGTATTCTTTTTTGCATAACGGTATACTGATAGTTCTTCCGTGCTAGAGGAAGGCACTTGGCGCGGCTGCAGCCGCTTTCATCGTCGTTCATCCGCTTGCTCGTTTCACACCCAGGGCAGCACATGGTAGTTTAGTGCATTTTGTCACTGTCTGTAAGATAACCCTATATTTTCTAAAATAAGGTATAGAGTGAAACAGGAAAAACCACGGCAAGTCAGCAACCTAAGAAGGTCGGAAGGAAAATACGACCCCCCCCGTTTACAACGTCCCAAACAAGAAAACCAACTATCAAAAAAATTTTCTTAGATCAAATACGACCCCTCCTGTTGGGGACTCCCCAACAACGATGTGTCGCTGCTTCAGCACCGGCTTCTGTACGAGACACTGCAACCACTTGGCAAAGTTTTGTGCTACACCTGAGCCCACGATTCTTCTTTAACAGTACCGTTCAGGCGCCATGAGGAAATTCCGGAGAATAAAAACGAGACAAAGACGGCCAACGTCATGGTGTTGTTCACTGTTCGACGATTATCTCGAACTACAAGTGCTTACTTGTTCAGTTTCACAATTTCCAGAATTTTAAACGGGTTTCGGCTTTATTACCGAGTTCCTTAACAGGTATCGTGAGGGTCTTGATCTCGTGCTGAAGCAGTTTGTAGCTGATATAGGCGAAGGAGAGAAAATAGGAATCGTAGGTCGTACGGGAGCTGGTAAGTGTCGTTCTTTATGATCAAATGAAATGCCACCGCTACATCTGAACCTTTTGTTTCCAGGGAAGAGCTCTTTCACCCTTGCTCTTTTCCGCATAATCGAAGCCGTTTCTGGAAAAATTATAATTGATGATGTTGACATATCCAAAATCGGACTTCACGATCTGCGCAGCAACATTACCATAATCCCTCAGGTTTGGTTCAACTTTTATTTAGGCGAGAACCTCGTGCTAATTACAGACAGAGAAATAAAGCAGACCATAACAAAATCTACTATAAATCTTGGGTGGCTACTGCCTAGATTATTTTCTGATGGAAGATTGTTCTAGGGTTGAAGCAGTCAGAATGAGGGGAAGAGACGTCCGCCAAGAAAAGACCGCGCCGCGCAGTTTGGCAACGGGAGCGGGAGGGGGGGGGGGCATTTTGCACTTTTGAATATTCCCATCGACCCACTTAGCCAGCCCCTTCCCGAGTTAACAGGTTTTACCAGGATGGTACGAGCTTGCTCCAACTCCACAAGAGTTCACAGGTTTCACCAGAGTGAGACTTGTAAACCGGAACTAGTGAAGCAACGAAAGTGCAAAATGCCCCCCCATCGCCGAACTGCGCCGATTACTACCAAGAATGAGAAGAAGAGTCCACAAGCTCCGTCTCTGTTCCACGACGCAACGCTGCACGGCGGGCACCCACAGTTGG